GAATTTTGTGGAGTACAAGACCTCATTCTCTGGATTTCCTCAGTGTCTGTTGTTATATTCCCCCTTTTGTTTCTGATTTTTTTAATTGGCATGCTCTCTCTGACTTTTGGTTAGTTTGGATAGAACATTGTCTATCTTGAGAATCTTCTCAAAGAACCAACTCTTTGTTTCACTGATTCTTTGTAATGTTTTCCTAGTTTCTACTTTATTGTTTTCAGCCCTCATTTTGATTATTAACTGGCATCTACTCCTCCATGGTGAGTTTGCTTCTTTTTGCTCTAAAGCTTCAGTTTTTCTGTCAATTCTCTAGTGTGGCTATTCTCCAGTTTCTTCATGTGAGCAGTTAGTGCTATGAACTTTCCTCTTATCACTGCCTTAAGAATTTCCCATAAGTTTGGGTATGTTATGTCTATATTCTTGTTAAATTTTAGCAAGTATTTACTTTCTTTTTTTTATTTCTTCCTCAACCCAGGACTGGTGCAGTTGGGTGTTATTCAATTTCCACAAGTTTGTAGGTTTTATGCAATTTGAACTGCTGTTGAATTCTAATCTTAAAGCTGGTGGCCTGATATGATACAGGGGGTTATTTCAATTTTTTTTGTATGTGTGGAGGTTTGCTATGTTGCCAAGTATATGATCAATTTTAGAGAAGGTTCCCTGTGGCATTGAGAACAAGGAATATTCTTTAGTGTTTGGATGGAATGTTCTATAGATGTCTATTAATCCAAATTGGGTTGTAACTTCTGTTAGATCCTTTGTTTCTTTGTTAAGTTTCTGTCTGGTGGTCCTGTCTAGTAGTGAAAGGGGGGTGTTGAAGTCTTCTACTATAAGTGTGTGGAGTTTTAATTTGTGGTTTGGGCTTTAGTAATTTTTCTTTTACAAATGTGGGTGGCTTCGTATTTGCAGCATAACTGTTCATGATTGAGACTTCATCTTGATGGACTTTTCTAGTGATGAGTATGAAATGCCCTTCTTCATCTCTTTTGATTGCTTTTAGTTTGAAGTCTAATTTGTTAAGTATTATGATTGCTATACCAGCTTATTTCTTGGGTCCATTTGATTGAAAATATTTTTCCAACCCTTTACTCTGAGGTAACACCTGTCTTTGAAGTTGAGGTGTGTTTCTTGTTTACTGCAGAAGGATGGATTCTGTCTTGCTATCCATCCTGTTAGCCTGTATCTCTTTATAGGCATGTGAAGACCATTGACATTGAGGGATATTAATGTCCATTGATTGTTGCTTCTTGTTTGTTTTGGATTTATTGTTGGTGGTGTCATTGTGTGACCCTCCTGTTTCTTTTCCTGTTTGGTAAACTTGGATTATCTATTGCCTGATGGGGGAAGTGCTTCTGTGTATGTATTTGTCTTACTGGATAACTAAAGTACTGTTTGGCCAATGAGGCAGCAAGTTAGGCAGGACTAGGAGTCAAGGAGGATTCTGGGAAATGAAGTAAGAAGTGGTGATCCAGGCAGGAAGTTACATAGCAGGGAGACTCATTTAAGCAAGGACAAACAGGAAGCGTCTCATTTTTTCCCCTCTGCTCTTCCTCCAGTGGCATGATGTAATCCTCCAGCAAGGGGGGACGCCAATGGAAGGCATCCAAAAGATAAGTCTTATAAACTATATAGATTTATGATAATTAAGACGGAGCTAACAAATGAGAATCCAGGTCATTGGCCATGCAGCATTTGTACATAAGTCTCTGTGCATTAATTTGGGCCCTAACTCGGTGCGCAGAACTCGGATGGATGGCAGAGACTGCCCACATGGTGGTAGGGCTTGGGCAGCTTTTGGCAGAAAGATTTATCTTAACAATTGCCTATGTTTTTGTGAGTGTAGTTATCTTCATTGGGTTGGAGTTTCCCTTCCAGAACTTTCTGTAGTGCTGGATTTGTCGATATGTATTGTTTAAGTCTGTTTTTGTCATGGAACATATTGTTATCTCCATCTATAGTGAGTGAAAGCTTTGCTGGGTACAGTAGTCTGGGTTGGCATCCATGCTCCCTTAGTGTTTGTAGGATATCTATCCAGGACCTTCTGTCTTTCAAAGTTTCCTTTGAGAAGTCTGATGTGATTTCTGATGTGATAGGTCTGCCTTTATATGTTACTTGGACTTTTTCCTTTGCTGCTCTTAATATTTACTCTTTATTCTGTAGGTTAGGTGTTTTTATTATTATGTGTAGGGGGACTTCTTTTTGTGGCCCAGTCTGTTTTGGGCTCTGTAAGCTTCTTGTACTTTCATAGGCTTGTTCTTCTGTAGGTTGGGGAAATTTTCTTCTATGATTCTGTTGGATATGTTTTCTGTTCCTTTGAGCTGTATTTCTTCACTTTCTTCTATACCTATTATTCTTAGGTTTGGCCTTTTCATGGTTTCCCATATTTCCTGGATATGTTGTGTTAAGGATTTGTTGGACTTGAAATTTTCTTTGATAGATGACTGTATATCCTCTAGCAAGTCTTCAACAATGGACATTCTGTCTTCCATCCTTTGTATTCTATTGGTTATACTCACATCCTTAGATCCTGATCGTTCATCCAGCCTTTCTATTTCCAGCATCCACTCATTCTGTGTGTTCTTCAGTGTTTCATTTTAGCTTTCATGCCTTGAACTGTTTCGAGTACTTCCTTCATTTGTTTGTTTGGTTTTTTTTTTTTTTTTTTTAGATTCTTTAAGAGAATTAGTTATTTCTTGAATTTTGTTTGTTTTATATTCTATTTCTTTAAGAGATTTTCTTGTTTCCTCTTTAAGTGTCTCGAACATCTTCATAAAGTAGATTTTTCAGCTATCTCTTCTTCCTCTGTTTTGTGCTTTTCAGATCTTGTTGGTGTGGAGTCCCTAGATTCTGGTGGTGTCATGTTGCTCTTTATGTTGTTGAGTGTGTTCTTATTCTGCCTTCTTCCCATCTCTTCTTCCAGTGGGTGTAGGTGGGGTCTCTCTATCTTCTCTTGTCACCCGGGAGTGTGTGTGGACCAAGACATCAATGTCTGCATCTCAGGTTGGTTTTGCCTCTCCTGGTAGTCTCCTCACTCAAGAGAGGCCAGGCCAGTAGGGGGAAGGAAGAATGAGACATTTCCAGACTCAGGGAGGTTCTCCCTGTCTGGGCAGGTTGACTCTCTGCAGGCACTTGCCAGAGAGATCCTGACATAATTGGGGCCTTGAGTAGGAGTAGGACAGGGGTAGAGGGTACATTCACCTCAGGAGAGGTTGGGCAGGCAGAGGAGGAAGGAAGTGATCTTAGAGATTTTATGGCCAGCATAGTGTACAAAGTGAGTTCCAAAAGAGCCAAGACTGTTACACAGAAAAAAAAAAAAAAAAATTTCTGGGGAAAACAAAAAAAAAAAAAAAAAAACTTTCTGGAGAAACCAAAACAAACAAAACAAAAATTGTAACATGCCTATCCACCAAACGCAAATGCCACTGGCATAATTCAACCAATTTCCTTTTATAATACCTCTTTATGCTTTCATAATTACATTTTTATTGAATACTAAAAAGAAGCACTAGAATTAAAGGGATATAGAAGACCTATCTACAATTCAAGCTGCTGTTTTCTTCATGAGACTCTCCCAGCACTCCTCCAAACTGTGAAACCAACACAGTCTATAGATGAAATTTTTATAAAATATTTATGTATCTACTGTTTAATTCATGGAACTTTTATAGCATACTTTCACTTTCTCAAGTATAAGATTGTCTTTTCCAATTTTAATTTCCATTTTTAAGTTTAAACTATTTTCTTTGACAAATTATTATTTTATGTTTAATTAATTTGATTGAATTATAATTTCATAACTTCTTACATTTCTTTTCACTATTCAATTCACTCTAATGTCACCAACTCTAAAATAGATTACCTTATTTCAAACCAAAACAAAAAAAAATGCCCTGACATAAAATTATGAGACAAGGAACTTATGAGTTGAGTTTGTTTTCTATTGGACATCTCCCCCTTGACATGTGGCATACCCTTAAGAGTAGTAGATTTTGCCATTGAGACTTCCTTGGAGAATACTCAATTTTCATTTCCAAATGGTTATCAATTGGATGTATTTTGGGGTTAGGGATGGGGACATGTGTCTAGTTCTTTTTTCAACTGTAAGACTCCATTTGGTTCAGACTCTGAGTTCATGAGTATCTGTCTTGTTGATATAGAGGGCCTTATTTTTGTATGTCCTCAGTACCCTCTGGCTTTTACACTCTTTTAGTTTCCTCTTCTTCAGGGTTTCTTTATCCCTGAAGGGAGGTATTTGATGTAGACATATTGTTTAAGGCTGAGTTTTCAAAGGTTTCCTTTGTCTACATATTGTTTATCTGTGAGCCTCTGTATTTGTTCCCATCTACTTCAGAAGGAAAGTTCTCTGATGATGTCTGAGCAAGAAGCTGGTCATCTATGAGTATAGCAACATGTCATTAGGAAGCATGTTTTTTCCACATTCTTTTAATAGATAATTAGTATTGTTTTTGCACTAGGCCACTGTGCTATCCAGTCTCATATGCTTGGCCAAGTAGGCAGTGTCATGCCATCAGTTGAATTTTTTATAAAAGCCACATTTAATAGCCAAACTTCTAAATTTTCTCATGCTGAGGAATTCTTTCCTTCCTTCCTTGTCTAATAATTTAGTTTCAATTCTTCAATTAAATTTACAAGCCACACGAATTGTCACAATGCAGGTAATTCATATAAGTTTGATTATTTAAAATATTAAGTCATCAACTACATTTTTATTCAGCCATTTAAAATACTATTAAAATTGTATACAAAATGGGAGATAATCATTTCTGCATTTACAGAGATTTTGTAGAGATCCATCTGAAAGGATTCATGAAAGTCTTGCCATTAGGGACATTTTAATGTCTTCTCTGAGATAATACAGTATACATTAATAAAAACCACTAAAATATTTTGGTGTAAAACTTTATCTGACTCTATAAATGAATAATAATTTCCATAAGTCTGAAAATTCACATCAATTTTCCAGAATCCAAGAACGGACAGGGTCAAGAGGTGCTCCTCGACATACAAATTGACCTCTTTGCTGCTTCCTTCACATCTTTGTTCCTCAAGCTATAAATCAGAGGGTTCAGCATGGGGATGATCAAGGTGTAAAACACAGCAGAGACTTTCTCCTGTTCCATGGAGTACTGTGAGCTTGGCTGGATATAGCTAAAAGCTACTGAACCATAAAATAATGTCACAGCTGTCAGGTGTGAGGCACAAGTAGAGAAGGCTTTGTGCCTCCCTTCTACTGAGCGGATTCTCAGAATGGCAATGATAATATGGCTATAGGACACAATGATAATGATGAAAGTGAAAATAGCAATCACTCCTGAGAAGATCAAAAGCAGCATCTCATTGATGTGTGCATCAGAGCATGAAAGCTTTAAAAGAGGAGGGATGTCACAGAAGAAGTGATTCACAATGTTTGGACCACAGAAGTCCAGTCTGAGTAGACCTATTGTGTGAGTCAGGGAATTAATGAGGCCACCCAAGTAACATGCGAGAACCATCTGAGTGCAGATACTGTGAGTCATAATAACTGTGTACATTAAGGGGTTTGTGATTGCCACATATCGATCATAAGCCATCATAGATAGGAGGATGCCTTCTGTAGTTACATAAACCGCAAAAAAGAAACTCTGCAGGACACAAGCAAGGAATGTACTAGATTTGCATTCTGATAAGAAATTGACCAACATCTTAGGAGCAAAGACAGTAGAGTAGCAGATGTCACAGAAAGAAAGATTACTAAGGAAGAAGTACATTGGAGTATGAAATTGGGCATTCAGCCAGATCAAGATAATCATCCCCCAATTACCCACAAGAATAACAAGATAGATTAGACTAAAAAGCAAGAATAGGGGAACCTCCCAATTAGGATTTTCTGTTAAGCCGACCAGTATGAATTCCTTCACACGTGTATGATTCCAAATTGCCATTGTTCAGTAGTCTATAGCTCCTTTTTACAAAAACAGTATCATGAGTTTTAAATGAATAAAAAATAAACAAAAGGATTTCCTCCAGGATCTGATAGCCATCATGGTGTAAGACACTGAGAGGTCAACCTGTGGTATATGAAGAAAAAAAAAAAAAAGAAAAAGAAGAAGAAACCTTAGCAATAGCCCATAAGAGTGCTACAATGTCTGTACACTGAGAGTCAAATGACGGCAACTCACAATGGTTTATTTCATGATATCAATTATCACAGAACAGGAATTTATAAGAAAAACTCTCATATTCTACAAAGCTATCAGTTCATAGAACTGAGTGTGAAATTTAGAGGGTGGTACCCAACCCCTGTGCTATTCTCTAATATTCATCACACTTCTGCATAGATTGATATAACCTTGCTTCAATCTTGTCACAAGGGAAATTTCAACATCCTGTTAATAGCCATTTGAAAGTATTTGACTACCAGTTACCTAAAAATACCTACTTCATTCAGTACTATCCCCCACCCTCCTTTCCAAATACCTCACCTCAAATATGTTCTTACCTTCAGCATGGATCTCTGAAATACTGGATCAATGCCATTTTGCACAGGGAATCTGAGCTAGGGCATAAAGGAAGATAAAAGTTTTCATCTGTTTTTTGCTTTAAGATTTATTTAAGTATTACAAGTGTCATTTTAAATGACAATTTTTGCCTTCACATTTTTTAAATTTCTATTTGCATTCTATTAGTGTTGTTCTCAGTTTTAAAAATAATTAAAAATGCAGAATATTCACTAAAAAGAAATGAACTTTGAGAAATATTAAAGCTGAAATTGTCCACATATTTTCTTTACAAAATGATGAGTGATAATTTCACTTAATTTCTTTTGAAAGATACTTTTTCTATTTAGTAATAGTTAAGTTAAATATCACAGAATTAAATTATATACATTCTTTGTAACACAGATTACAAATATTTATCACTTACAATTATGAGCCTGTATGTTTCTTTTGAAATGGAAAATCACTTAAATCAGCTACTTGATGTTTCCAAGCAGATGATGTCCTGTTAGTTGATATAAGCAACTATTATAACTAGCATATAAAAATTAAAGTAGGACAGAGAATACGAGGAAATGGTTATTGCTGTAGTATAGATGGAATTAATTTCCCATTTCTAATGCAGTTACTAAAACAATTTACTGAAAATTTGGTGACTTAAAATGATTAAGATTCATTCACTTACAGTTTGCAAGTCAGAAGAATGACAGTATCTGAATTTCTGGGTGGAATCAACACAGGTACGAGGTCACATTCCTAATAGAAGCTTTAAGAGAGGAAGCGCTTTGTCATCCAACGACCCCTTGTGAGCCTACAGGATCTGATCCTTTTTTCCTAATACAGTAATGTAGTACTTTTATATTTCATCACTGTGGCTTCCTTCTTTCTCAGGTGAAAGAGCACTTGAAATACATGTAGTTCCTTCTTCCATAATCTAAGGTATTATTTGTCTCTCATGGTCTATTCTGATTTACGTGAGAACATTCTGTTGTCCCATAATAGGTAGTATTATGGATGCAGAGATTCAGATTTAAGTAGCACTAGGAGTGGTCATTCAGTCTGTTTCATGTGAGATGTTCAGTGAAGGACTCTATATAAATTTCACTATCAGTATAAAATGATCAAGTAGTTTAAACAGATAATGTGGGTTTGTAAAAAAGAGTGTACCAAGAAAAGTATGTAGCATATTCAAAACGTAAGGATAGAATTGCTTGTGATAGTAAGTCTTCTAAATATTCCTAAATGTTAAGAAAATCAAAAGTGAATGCTCAAGAATAACATATATTGATTTCTGTGGCCACTGAAATGTGGTTGAAAACTGTCAGTGAGATGGGCAAAATATTTTTATGAGATATCACAGTACATGAATTCTACATTTCAGTCTTACTAAAGTATTTACTATTTTTCACCACTTTCATTTTAGCATTTTACATTTTTATTGATTACACAGAAGTAGTTTTACATAAAGTGAATCTTGTTCTCTTTTCTATCACTGATCTAATTTACTTGTATATTGAATTTTATGTTAACATAACCCTCTGGTTTTTATGCAACATAAATACTAATTGAGTACAGTATTTTACAATCTCTTTAGCATTCAAAGGACATGTCCATTTGAAATCATCCATTATTTTTAAAAAATATTTCTTAATTTTTAATATTACAATGTAATTTCATCATTTCCTCTTCCCTTACTCCCTCCAAACTCTCCTACATACTCATGTTTGCTATTTTTCAAATCCGTGGTTTCTCTTTTCATTGATTGTCATTATATTCATATTTGTTAGATATGCCCAAATAAATATTTTCCTAAAAACATATATACAACCTATTCAATCTATATAAATTTACACTCCCTCTTTTGAAAAGCTACAAAATTTGCCTGGAACAATACCTCCAAATATAGATCTAAAATATCAGAGTTTGCATAATGTTCCAATTTAATGGAAATATATAAATTGATGGCCAGTTTTATTGTCTCTGGGTTTTCAAATTGTGCTTAAATCATGATTTCACTGGTGATCAAATGGATGAGGAAAGGAAAGGATAGAAACAAGTGTGATGAAAGTAAGATTCAGTTACATTTGTGGTCTTATTCACCAAGCACACAGTAGAAAAAGATAAATACAGAAAAGTACCATCTCTTGTTAACATATGCTTCACATCTATGATGTTAGAGTTGTAACTTTAATATAAGTGTATTAGAGATTAAATTCACTCTTTTTCTGCACTTATGATTGCTATCCAGATGGAAATAAGAGGCTGATTTACAATACTAACTACTGTAAGTATTCTGCCCTCAAAAAACTGTTATTCCTCAAGACATTCAGATTTTATTTTGCTTCCTCCATATAATGAGGTTTATGTATCATCACATATCAACCTGTTCAAATGAATAGAAAACTCTTCTGAAGTCATATCATGATCCCAGGACAGCAATCATAATGAATGGTCATCAATGAACAGATATAAAATGAGAGTACTTAGAATTTTTAAATGTTTTTATCATACTTGAAAAAGAAATTCAACAAAAGCATATCAAATGAGTTAATAATTATCAAATATTTGCTAACTTCATACACAGCAAAGAGCTGTTCAAGAAAAGAAACACATCACCTCAAAGATACTCATGTCACAAGAGGGACCCCACCTCTGGCATTGTCTGGAGGGTCAGACAACAGAGGCTGGATAGCCCAAAGACCTATGACAAATCAACCACAATAGGAAAAAATGTCAATGAAATAATTCCTAATGATATTCTGCTATACTTGTAGACAGGAACCTCACATAATTGTTATCAGAGAGGTTTCATCCAGCAACTGATGGAAACAGATGCAGAGATCCACAGCCAAAGATCAGGTGGAGCTTTGGAAATTCTGCAGAAGAGTTTGAAGAAGGATTGTGTGAGCCAACAGGGTCAAGAACAACACAAAATAAACCACAGGATCAACTAACCTGGAGCCATAGTGGCTCCCAGAGACTGACCCAACAACCAGGGAGATTGCATGGTTATGACCTATGCCCTCTGCATATATGTTATGGTTGTGTAGTATGGTCTTCTTGTGGAACTCCTAAGAGTGGCAATGGGGACTGTTTTGGACTCTTTTTTTTCTGCTCTTAGGAACCATTTTCTCCTACTTGGATGGTCTCTTCCAGCCTTAATATGAGGGAAGGTACTTAGTTTCATTGCAACTCAATATGTCATGTTTGGTTGATATACCTTGGAGGACTGCCCTTTTCTGAAAGGATAGGCAGCAGTGAGAGGAGAGGTGGAGCAGGAGGGAACAGGACGAACTGTCATTGGGTATGTCATATATGAGAGAAGAAAAAAACCTTTAAAAGGAATTGAATTTAAATGAATACATGTATGTATTATTAATGTATTGTTAATGTTTTAGTCATGAATAAAATGCTATATTATTGTAAAGGAAATGTTCTATATATATTCAAAATTATTCAAATTATGTTTATAGATGCACATATACTTTAAGACAGTACTCATTAGCTAGTTTGTAATTTAAAAAATTAAAGACAAATGAAGCAAAATATCACAAAACATTTATGGAATTATTAAATTTGACACTTAGAATAAAACTATATTTAAACACTGCAATCAACATCAATAGCACAAAGCACATGAGACAAAACTACCAATTAGATATTCTACTTTAAAATCAGCATGTCATAGTGAAGGATTGAACTGCTAAGGCTAGCACTGTTAAAATCAGAACTTAAGATACAAACATGCATAAGCATGGAAAACAAATGGAAGCAAAACATAAAATAATTATTAAAATTCTCTATTAAAATCCTTAAAGAAATATAACTCTAAATTGTTTTAAGGTACTATTGTTTTATTATAATGGAAAATCATATGTATTATATAATATTTACAATTCTAAAATATTTTAGTTTTTAAATTTGCGTAAGTGTAGAAAATATCTATAAGGTGCTATATGAACATAGTATTTAATAAAGACATACTTGACTTTCCTTATACAAAAAAATTAATATAATCATAGTGTAAATTTGTAAGCATCATATAAATAATTCTATTGACTATTACATGTGTTATATTGAAAGATATATAACCCATAATTTATAATATTCTAAATTGTTGATTGTGATACTACACTTGGATAATTTGCAGTGAGCTTCAGTTAGTGTTCAGGAAATAACAAAATATCAAAATCTTGAAATAGAAATAGCTCTTCCTTACTTACAGGTTATCAAAGCTCCAGTGAACTACCCATCTGCTATAAAAGACCTGGCTTTCACAAGTCTTTAAGGACTTATTATGTTGCTAAGAGTAGTCTCTACTCTACTGGGGACAGGACCTGTCGCTCCTTCTGTGTATATAAGTCTCAGTTGTCCACAGTTGAGTCATTAGCATCCTTCTTGTCTCTTGAGTGTGAAACTATTCAGAGAGTTGTCAGGCCCTCTAC